AAATAATTAAGAAAAAAAGTGTATGAATTTTGTTTTAAAACCTTCTTCCATATACATCGAAATCAAAAATATAAAACTTTTTAAACAAATTAAAATTCAGGAACTTAGGGGTTAAAATGAATGATTAAAACAAAAAAAACTTTTTAATTTCTATAAAAAATTTTGCGTTGCAAACAAATACAGACACTTGTAAAACTTTAATTATCAAATTAATTACTATTTAACTGGGAATAAGCCACAATTAAAGATAAAAATACGTTTATTGACGTTTCAATTTCCACTTCGGAAATTTATTATACAATGGGCTCTAGTTTATCTCCATTCTTAGCCGATATATTTATGGAAGATTTTGAAACAAATATCATTTCTAAACAAAATTTCAAACCCACAGTATGGTGGAGGTATGTAGATGGTGTATTCTCAATATGGCCTCATGGATCAGAATTGTTGGACACATTCCTAAATGATAGAAACGATAAAGAAGAGACAATAACATTTACCATGGAAAAGGAATATAATAACACGCTACCTTTCCTGGATATTTTAATCTCTAAGAACGATACTGGATATGAGACTCAGGTGTATAGAAAACCAACACACACCAATAGATATTTAAATTTCAAATCAAATCACAATATTAATGTAAAAAAGGGAATAATTAAATCCTTCTACGATAGAGCCAAAATTACTTGTTCTAACGAAAATTCGTTCTTGGAGGAGAAACATTTGTTAACATCTGTTTTATTAAAAAATGATTATCCTTTATCGTTTATAAATAAGGAATTTTCAACAATCGATGGAATAGAACAGAATAACTTAGAACGAGATCCTACAGCATACACAAGGAATAATATGAGGAAAATAACAATACCGTACATAAAAGGATTATCAGAAAAACTTAAAAGGATAAGAAATAAATTCAGCATTTCAACAACATTCAAAACAACAAACACGTTGAGATCTATTTTGTCCAAAACCAAACCTAACAATGAACAAGAAAGGACAAAGAAGTGCATTTATAAAATACCTTGTGAATGCGATCAGTTTTATTTAGGTGAATCATCAAGGCCATTAAATGTTAGAATAAGTGAACATCAATCTTATATTAAAAATAGAGAATTTGATAGATCTCAAATATGTAAACACGCATGGGATAATGAACATAGTATTCAATGGAATAATTCAAATGTAGTCCTAAAAGAAACGGATGGTAAAAAAAGAAAAGAAGCGGCTCTAATTATGCTAATTATGCTTAAATGATCCAATTGGCTGTAGTCGTACGGGATATCGCAGATGTGGACGTTTCTATTAACATTTTTTTATTAAAATTTATTGTCTTTGGTCATCACTAAAGTATTTTGATTTTTTGACATGCAGTATCTATTTTAAACATTTTTTCAATACCTTTTAAACCAAGGAAATAATTTTTATTAATAAATTATTTAAATGGCCAACAGATGAAGAAGATATGGTTAAATTATGTAAAATATCTACATCTATTACCAAATTATATGTAGTTGATTAATGATTTTCCTATGAATTTTAAATAACAAAGCACCAAATGTCAGGGTCGCTTACAGCTTCAAGATATAATTACTAACATATAAAAATGTAATTGACTCTTTCTTTACATCTAAATATATTACATTGCATGCAACTGCAAGCACTTACAGTTAAGCCATGACAGTTTTATGTCGTCTTTTACAGATTTACAAAACATCTAATTGATAGTTATTGGAAAATACATAAAATTACAGATAAAACGTTAACTGTTTATAATTGTTGAAATGTCAATCGATAAAACTATTATGAAAGTTTTTATGTCGCTGCGCTAAATATTAACTACGCCTAAAAATTTTATTACAATAAGTGAATTGTACTCGATGCAATAAACAACGTGCACAGTTATAATTATTATTATTTTTTAATTGGTGTTACTTCCTAATCGGCAGGAATTTATGTTGGACTTGCTCGCTGGATTCTTATCTATTTGCTTATATTAATCACGTCGAATTCTTCCTGTAGATATGAAATCTTATAGAACATTTTTCATGGTTCAAATGTCTTGCATTTAAGCCATACAATCTCGTTAACATACCTGGGACCAAAAGTGAAATTTAAAAGGAAAATACTCAAGTGGGGTCCAAGCTGATCCCAATTTTTTTAGCATTTTATATCACTATTTTTTTTCTGTTTTGTTAAAATGGGTTGTAGGTATGTAGTAGTTATAAAAAGTATGAAAAATCTATCTATATACATTTATTTATTAGAAACAAACATATTCACAAAAGTTAAATATTATTCACGTTTGACACAAAATTTTCTTTTCAGAATGTTAGCTACGTGTAATTTTTTTACAGATGAAACATGTTGATCTCATTCTGCATACTCCTCTCGATCTTGTATGGCTCTAAAGAGTGCATAGGCATCAAGGTTTGTTCAATCCCTTATGTTTTTAAGCCATGAGTATTTCTTTCTTCCGATATCCCGTTTTGCTTCTATCTTCCCTTCCATAATAAGTTTTAAGAACTGGTACTTGGAATTTCGAAATATATGACCCAGATAAGCAGTTTTTCTTCTTTTTATTATTGGCAGCAATTCACGTTCTCTGTCCATTCGATTTAATACTTCGACATTTGTTGTGTGATCTGTCCAGGGGATTTTAAGTAATCTTCTAAATGCCCACATTTCAAAGGCCTCCAATTGGTTTATCACATTGGTCTTTATGGTCTAGGTTTCTACACCATAGCAGTATGGAGTAAATGTAACATTTTACAAAGCGATATCGAAGTGTTAAAATAAGGCTGCTGTTGCTTAGCAAGGTTCTCATATTAGTAAATGCTATTCTGGCTTGCTCAATCCTGCTACGTATCTCTATGTCTGGATCTAGATCTTCAGTTATCCAACTACCGAGATATCTGAACCTGGAGACCTTTTGGATGTTCTTATTGATTACTCTTTTAATTGCATATTTCGTGTTCTACTAACCACCATTACCTTCGTCTTGTCTATATTAATCCAAACCCAGTCGTTCTCCTCAGTGTTTATTCTACCTATTAGTCGTTGTGGCGCTTCTTGGCTATCAGCTATTAGGACTGTATCATCAGCATAGCGAAGATTACTAATAGTCGGTCCGTTGATTGTGATTCCATCTTCAGTGTCACTTAGGCTCTATCGAAAATCGTTTCAGAGTAAAGATTAAAAAGGAGGGGTGACCGAACACAACCCTGTCGTACACCTTTTTCGATTGCGAAATATGATGTAGTTCTTTATGATTTTAAGGTCATTCTCATCTATCGAACGTTCCTGGAGCAATCTTCTAATTCTGAATGATTAACACAATTGAACGCTTTCTGGTAATCTATAAAGCATGGGAAGACCTCTTTTGCGGAACTCTGCATTTCTGAAGTAGGACAGTTAAGCTATAAAGTGCTTATCTTGTGCCAAATCCTTGTCTGAAACCGAACTGTGTGGGGCTAATGTCTCTCTTACATCTGTATGTGTGAATTATCTTTACGAGTTTTAGGCTCGGCTCAATAAGCTGGTCATTCGGAATTGGTCGCACCTGTTAGCGTTTGGCTTTTTTGGGATTGGTATAAAGGTTGATTGAAGCCAATCCTGTTGTATTTGACCGGATCCATAAATGGTATTAAGAAGATCTACCAAGGCGTGTATATTGTCTTCACTCAACATTGTTAGAACCTTTATGTAGATATATGTCGTCTGAGCCTGGTGCTTTTCCCCATTTGCTCTGTTTGATTGCCCGTATAACTTGTGACTTCAATATTTTGGGGGAGGGTTCACTTTTATATTCACTTTCAGAGTTTCTTCTAGTGTTGTCTGAGTATAGTTGCTGTGTGTAGTTTTCCCAATGTTGAAGTAAATCCTTGGGATCAGTAATTAATTTATTGTCCTTCACAATACTGTTAAAACTGCAAGGTTTTGTATGACCTGTCACTTCTTTAACGAGTTTATGTATGTTAAAGTGGTCATGTTTTACTTCCAATTCCTCCATTTCTCCACACCTGTCTAGCAGCCACTGTTCTTTAGCTTTGCGACACTCTTTTCGTATTTGTCGGTTAATCTGCTGATGTTTGGTTCGGTCTTTGTTTTTAAATGATCTGCGATCGTCCATCATTGATAATATTTCGTCAGTCATCCAATTCTTCCTTTTGCACTTTTGGGAAGTGATCAGAGACTTGTTGGTGGTTACGATAACTTTTTTAATACAATTCCATTTGTCTTCTATACTGCCCGGTTGTTTATATCTTGCCGTGATATCCGCTATTGCCTCTAATTTTTCTGTGACTTTTAGTTTGACGTTAGGTTGTTTTAAGCTGTTTATGTCAATTTTCTTTATGGATTTTCTTTTAATTTTCTTAAGCTAATTTTTAATTTTCCTACTACGGGATACGGGATTACACTATAATAATTTTAAATTACTGTTCGCTTGCAATTGACTGGATAAAACTAATCTGGTTATAATAAACGAACCCCAACAAATTAATGTCATTCCTTGACGTACATTTATAATCTGTGTACTCATCTCCTGGTCCATTCTTCTAACAAAAGCAGACAGAAGAGTCTTTAGGGTATAAGTACCCTAAATAAATCTGCAGAAATGTTTATCTAAATAGATGACAGAATAGAAGCTAAAGCTGAAATAACGCCATTTTAGAACAAGCACAGGTACTAAATGATCCATACCAAATTAGTTTCTTGTCTGAGAAGTTACTCTATCTTTCTCTTGAAATAGTATAATAGTATGATCTATAAACGACTATAAAATTTTAAAAATAAACATTTAAATCTTTGTTTTATTTGATGCAGTTTTATATTGTTAATAAAGTGGTTGTGAATATTAATTAAATTCACTAGACAGTTGGGACTATTTTTTGTATTTCAAAACTTTTGTTTTCGAAATTGTTTGGCAGTTCACTATGTTATATATGTAGTAGAAAGTACTGAATGAGATTATTAATATCTTGTTTTTTTTTCAGAGTGGTGCAAAAATAAATATTTCCGATGGATCGTGCCCGGAAAGAATTGTTACAGTCATAGGATCAACAAATGCAATTTTTAAAGCTTTTACACTAATATGTAAAAAATTCGAGGAGGTAAGATAAAATTAAATTCAACTGAAATTTTTATTAACGTGTGAAAAAAAAATTAAAAATGATTTCACGACGATTTCCCAGCGAAAAGTTTTTTTTTGCGCTTGGACAATTGTCATTCAGCCAGTCTCAATCAAGATAAGTTTATTAATGTAGTGTGTGTGTGTGTGTGTGTGTGTGTGTGTGTGTGTGTGTGTGTGTGTGTTTGTGTGTGTAGAGTAATTGTCTTGATACTTAGCAAAGTCGACGTCATTGTCTTTGCTAAGAGACGCTAATTGTATCCGAACGTCTGCGGTCCCTCCGGTGAGTACCAAACAACTTCATTAAAGTATTTCCTATTTTACAATTGTGATTAATTTCCAGTATGTCTTAATTTCACAAGAAACAATTAGCATGGCTTTAAGTTTATGTATATGAAGATGTTTTGTGTATATCCTACATCTATGTCTAGTCCAACAGCTTGAGGTCCTAAAACGAGGACAAACAGTTTAAAATTACTTAAAAGATTCTACGCTACATTCTTTGTCAGTATCTGGAGGGATAATTATCTGATAGGGATAATTAACTGACAAAGAATTATCCCTCTAGATACTGACAAAGAATGTAGCGTAGAATCTTTTAAGTAATTTTAAACTGTTTGTCCTCGTTTTAGTATAGTGTTTTGTACAATTTTTTGTCATTATTGTTTCCACATTCTACGCTTCCGGATAGTTTATATTTGACGAAATGCCCCTGAAGGTGCTATTTTAAGCGAAAGTACTTGGGCTAGATTTAATTAACTTGTGCTCGATAATAGCCTTATTTTCAAAGTTCATTTATTCGAGCATTTATGGTACCTACTACTTTATTTTGGTAAATTAATGTATTTATTAAGTAGGCATCTCCTAAATTTAAAATAACTTCTTTTGATTATCATTGCTTTTTGACCTACTCTTTATTTTTTCAAGTTAGTTTTTTATATAAAAATAGAGCCACATACCAATATTTTTTAAGATTTCCATTTTTATGGTGGGGTATATCAATCCCTTTCTAGACCGATATTGTTCTTTAAAATTTAAGTTTGTCATTAATTTGATTTTTTCGTGTTCTAACCATGCTCTAGTAGATAAAAGCTTACTAAATGCAAACGTTTATTAAGAAACAGATTGACTTCCGTGGGGTATGGTAGATAGCTGGGTTAGTTATAGCATAGGCACGGATCGCTTAGATCGTACTTCAAACCCCAGCTGGTGTAAGTTTTTTAGACATTTATTAATTTGCTTGGTCTTTATTGGGCAACTGCAAGACCAAGACCAGGTGTATGGCGCAAGACCAAGACTGTCCAAGCCTAGTCTTGTTCTTGCATTTGGGTAACACTAAATAAAATATATTGTTAATATTACAGATAATATACGTATTAATTCTCGACGCCTACTGATTAAATAAAATATTTATATTTATCCTTTATTTTTAGTTTCAGGAGATCAATAGTGGTAGCAGCTCGGTACCACGTCCTCCAATCACACTACGCCTAGTAGTTCCAGCCAGCCAATGCGGCTCTTTAATTGGAAAAGCAGGGTCCAAAATAAAAGAAATAAGAGAAGTAACTGGAGCGTCAATACAAGTCGCCTCTGAGATGTTACCCAACTCTACGGAGAGAGCTGTCACTATTTCTGGTACCGGAGAAGCAATTACGCAATGCATTTATCATATATGTAATGTTATGCTCGAGGTGAGTAAACGTAATACTCTAATAAACTTTGGTTCAAAAATTGGTAACTTAAAATTTTAAATTTAAATTTGTACTCTTTTAATATATTCTGATCTTTTTGAAGTGTCTCCTATATGATGAAAATATTTCATCTGATTATCTCTCAGAGGAGAGTTATCATGCAGACGCATGTATTATAACATGGGTATGTCTGAAGATGGCGAAAAATTTTTCACTTTGAGCTAATGACCAGGTCATATTTTCGGAGGACGAACATGATCGATCATACGACCTTCTGATCGACATATGGTCAGAAAATTGGATGAACAATATAAGGCTTGGGGTTTGATGATTAATATGGAAAAGGCCGAATATGTATTTCTAGACCACTGTGAAATTAGGAATGTTCAGTCAGACAAGTACCTTGCAATTACAATTACTAAAGAAGGCTCTGGTGAGACTGAAATTAAGAAACGATTTGAATAAGATAAGCAGGTGACAAGACAACTAAATTGCGTACTGTGGAACACACAAATGACACAAGATACAAAAATCAGGTCTGGCAAATGACAGAATGTCTTAAAAAAAGCTACTGTCAATGGAAATTGAAGTTTGGAGACTATTCTGTACGCTAAAACACTACAAAATAAGAAATGATGAGATACGGACCAGAATGGATATTGAGATAACAATAATTGACACTATTGAAGCCAATAGTTTGAAATGGTACGGACATTAAGGCTGAACGGAGTGGAAGTGGAAGAGATAAAAATAAAAAGTAAATTAACTCAGGGTACATGGTCTTTATTTCATTGGAAAGTAAATACTCTTTCTTGTAAAGTGACCCTTCCTTCGAAAGGACCGCGTTACACGTGGGTGAAAAAGCAATCAAAACATTCCATTCAAACTTAACTACAGAAGAAGAGGTAAGAAACACGAATATTAAGAGACTTTAAAATCAATACTTAAATGGTAAACTGATGAAAAATATTTTTCTAATGCTGGTGTTAGAGCACTCTACTAAAAAAAGTACAGTGAAGTAAATTAATGTGAACCTTAACTCTTGTTTAATGTTCTCTATAGGGAGTCAACATAACTCATTGTATTTAACTATTATGTCTTACTTTAAATAACTACTAATTGATTTGTTGTACAAAGATTACCTCTTATTTTTTCGATGTTTTTGTTTCAGTCCCCTCCCAAAGGTGCCACAATTCCCTACCGCCCCAAACCCCAAGTAGGTGGTCCCGTAATCCTAGCCGGTGGACAGGCCTACACTATCCAAGGCAACTACGCCGTTCCCGCCCATACAGACGTAAGTAGCTCAACAGTAATGCCCCCCCTATTCGCTCCTGCCCATCCTACCCCCCACCCACTGCCATTTTGCCATCCGCTGACAGCAGCGGCTGCCCCGGCGCAGCTTCTTGCTGCTTCTTTTGAGCCGCTCAAGAACGGACATTTGCAGGCCGCCCTTCCGCCCGCGCATCTCTTGCCAGATGTAAGTTAATCGTATTGGTACTCCCCCTGTCTTCCCCTCCAATATGTTGTATTATCGTAGACTGGAACCTTTGTCCAGTAAAACCACTTGTTTTGCACCTTACCAAACCACTTTTATACTATGGACCTGGAGTGACCACCAAAATAATGTGGTACCCTTTCAAAACCTGCACGAACCAAGAATGAAGCCACCTTTATTAGTAATGTGTCTGGTTTACATAATAAAACTCAATATTTAAATATCTGTGAAACAATCTGTATCTGTATAACCAATCCTGTTAATGAAAATTATTAAGCGTCTATTTTTTGTTAAATACTTATATTTTTTATCAAATTTATCGAACAAATAAACATGTATACGTCAGTACAAATAGTATTAATTTAGGACGGAACAGAACTGCTTATTACAACAGTTACTCCATAGTTAAACTCATCGATTGTTAATGCCAAACTCTCTTTTTTTCAAAAATTTTTGTCATCTGAACCCATTTGTTTTGGTTTTCTTATTAATTAGTTTCCACATTGCTATATTTATTATGTTGTCTGCACATTACAAGTTTCTATTATAAATCTATTTCATTTTCTCAACACAGTATCAAAAGAATGTTTTGACAGGTTTATAGAAATCTATAATTACCACCCTTGTCGTATTTCTTTTGGGAATTGCCACACGGTGTTACCACTCTTGTCATGTACGGTTGTTTTATCCTGGACTAACATAACATTCCCAACAAACTCATCATATAACATCGTATGTTCTAATCCGGAGATATCGTTGTGCTGTTAAGGTGTCATTTTCAAATGAGGAGGACGTCCTGTAAGAATTCAAAGATATGTGTCCAAAACGGTTCCATGACTTACTAATAGGCGAGGCACTGAAGCAAAAAACCTACCTAATTTTTGCAGTAGGATGGATCTCAATGAAGCGTTTTGCTTTCGATTCGTATGAGTATCAGGAAATTTTTTGAACCAAAATGATGATGTGAAGTTCAATATGACTACTGGGGGGTTTTTAGGTCACTGAATATGACGGCGATGTTCTTCGAGGCATCTGATACACCTGCGGCTCGTGTCCTGGATTTTTTTTTAAATTCACCAGCCCATGGAGGGCTGGTGCAGATGACGATGGTAAAAAAATGGGCGCAGCAAACTGGCAACAGTTGGCAATAGATAGAACTGGTCAGCGTAATAGACTTGGGAAGGTCGAGGCTCTTCTATAACAATGGGCTGTAACACCAATGATAATGATGGTGTGCGAGGCACTTCGTTCTCAGGACGGGCCTTGTCTCCCAGAGTTTTATGGAAATTCGATACAAAATCAATGTAAACTCTACTCGTTGGTTTTTGGGATCACTGAAAACTAATATATCGGCTATGATGTGCGAGCCACCAGGGGCACATAGCGGTCTCGTCTCCTGGAGTTTTGTGGAAATTCGATACAAAATCAGTGCAAACTCGTTACTCGGGGGTTTTGGGGTCGCTGAACACTAATATGTCGGGGATGGTGTCCGAGTCACCTTGTAAGTTGGTGGTGTGGTCTAAAATAGACTTCATCTAACGAGATCACCTTTCGGCGTTTTCTTTGAAGGATTATATTCTATATTTACAGTAAAAAAACCAATGCCCACTTTAGTCAAAACAAGGTGAGAGTTCTTATGGGACTCGGACGGAAATTTTTGTAAAAAGGTTTATCGTATCTATACCTTGTTTTATATAGATTATTCAGAATATAGTCATAACCTGAGGACACCACCAAATATATGTTTATATCTGCGATATACCTCGTAGTTGTACCACCTTCTCCAAACACTATTTTCACAGATGGCACCGAATATTCTTCTCGGGATCCTTCGTTCAAATATAAGCAGTTGGTTTTCATCTGCCTTGGATATGGTTCATGTCCCCGATCCATATGTCAACACTGGTTGTATAAGGGTTTTGTATATGGTTATTTTTGTTTTTTGGCTCAAGTTTCTGCTTCTCATATGTCTACTCAATCCAAAATAGCATTTATTTGCTAGGATTATTCTTCGCATGATTTTATCCGTCATGACGTTCTCCTTGGTGATCATGGAGCCTAAGCATGTGAGTTTGTCCACCACAAATGCTTGTGATTGTTCGCCCTGTATTTCGACTTTGCAAACAACTTTACGCATTGTAGCCTTAACCAATCTTATCAGTTTATCGGGGATGTGGAATTCATCCATGCCTTCATACGATTTATTTCTTAGGACACTATCATAGGCCGATTTAAAATTTACGAAAATATGGTATGTGTCAATATTGAATTCATTGGTTTTTTTTAGTATTTGCCTTATCACAAAGATCTGATCTGTTGTTGATCGACCAGGCCTAAAACCACTTTGATATTCACCAAGAAGCTCCTCTGAATATGCACTCAGGCGACCGTATAAAATACTCGAAAATATTTTGTAGGCTGTATTAAGGAGGGTTAGTCCCCTATAGTTTCTACATTAAAATTGATCACCCTTTTTGTGTAGCGGACAAATGATACCAATACACCACTTTTCCGGGATTTGTTCCTCATTCAGGCTCTCAGTATAATTTTATATATATGATTAGTCAGAGTAGCACCTCTACATTTAATAAGTTCCGCGGGTATACCATCACTTCCTGGAGATCTATTATTTTTTAGGTACTTTATTGCATCCCGTACTTCTTGAATTGATGGAGGCTGCAATGGTGTATTATTGCTTGCTCCTATACAGTTCATACTGTCCTCAAAAATAATCACTTCCGCACGACCTTGTTTATTTGTAAACCCGTTCTGGGTGTTTTGATTCCTTGGTTTCGCGAATTTGAATATTCAATTTATTATCTCTTCTAGTTCACGAGAGAACCAATTGTGTTTTTCAAAGGTATTTTAACGTTATACTAATTTTTTTTATTGAAAACTTTTGAGCTTTTTTTAATGTATTATGTGAGACTATTTGAGAACGCACTCAATTTTACGGCATTCCATTGAGAACTTTTATATTAAATAAAAAGTACAAACATTAAGAAATGAATTTTATGTTACTTTAGTTTAAACGAGACACATTACCGATACAATTTGAGCTTCATCTTGAAACATTGTACAAGATAATAAAAAATCACTAAATTCAAATTATTGCAGATGAATTTTGGAAGGACGTAACCCATTCTGCCATCATTATTTTCCGCTTATTAAATTTTAGGTATCGGGATCCACCTAACGATTTATGATAATTGCTCAAGTAATGTGCAGCCGTGAAGTCTGTGCAGAATGGGCGGAATGAACATAAAAGTCGATTTAGTAAGTAGCGAAACAGTGGTTTTAGTAAATATGTTGTGTTATGTACATATTTGCGTGTTACCTTCGTTTTGTCCTAGTCGCAATTGTGTTCTTATGGTCTATTGATTCTGGTGAGGATTTACTATTAGTGCAAACAACAATTTTATTAAAAATATGAATATTTTAAATTCGTCATATAAAATTTGATGTTTTTAAAATATATAACAAAAACCTCTTTTGCATTATGGTGTTATTTGGCGATGTAAATTGTTTTATTTAGTTTTTCATTATTTTATTTGAAATTTTATTATTTTATTTCAGCTTTTCCTAGTATTATACTTAATAATTATTGAATAACATATCGCACAACGACGATTTTGGTGCTAATATCTAAATAAACTCCTGGACAAAATTAACGCACCACTCATATTTTTCTCAATAATCTTTATTTATTGATAATTTACTGTACGACAAATTGCCTATGGGCCTTGTTTGACAGTGACAGTTGTTATGTAAGCTAATAATAATTTGTTTTAACAATAATTTGTATTAAACTTCGCTTTATACTAAAAGTGAGTTAAACTTTTCATAAAAAGTGCCGATTAAAGCAAAGTGCTTGTGAGAAACAAGCTTTTTATTGTGATATTTTTAGTTCATTTGCATAAAAATCAAATAAAAAAATGAATCGCCAAAGAACTTTGTCAATTGAGGAGGCAGTGCGAGCGTCGACTCTCCTAGATGAAGGATATTCAATGCAGTTACAAGGTGAGGCGATATAATAAAACAGGGTCGTACCATCGAAGACCAGGGCAAGGGCGAAAACATTGCACTATTAAAATTGATGATCTTTTTTTTTTTTGAGACAACGTGCTCTCAGAGAAAGTGTGATTCACCAGCAATTTGCTAAAAAATGAACTAGCAGATGTTCGAAATGTCGCGATATCGTCGCGAACCGTTAGAAGACGTTTACATGAAGCAGAATTGAGCAACAGGAAATCGGTAAAAAAAACTTGCTTACCAGAGAACACAGGGTTCAGAGATTGAATTTTGCAAGATTGCATCAATACGAGGTCTATGAATGCCTAATGTAATGTCTTTTGCTCCGTTTCTTGGACCTAATTTTTTATTCATGCAAGACAACGCTCGTCACAGGTTATTGGCTACCGAATTGATATCGATTTTCCATTATTAGAGTGGCCACCTAACAGTCCGGACATGAATCCTATAGAGCATCTATGGGACTATCTCAAAAAAAAAGATTCGAAGTCATAGACCCCTTATTGGCAATCACAACCAACTCATTGAGGCCATTATTGAAGAATGCGAGATTATTCCGCAAGCTTTTGTTGAACATTTGATATCAAGCATGCCTCGACGCATAAATGCAGTCATAAGCAGTAGAGGAGGGCCTGCATGGTATTAGTGTTGACCCAGATGCATTTAATTGTGTTACTTTACTGATTTTTTTTCTTTTTGCAATTTACAGTTATGCTAGCTTATTTACGCATTTTCGGCAAAAACAAATTTTTAAAGAAACAATAAGGCAAATTAAGGTCATGATAAAGTCATGTTGGACTTATTTGTAGGTGTTTATTATTATTTCAATGTAACTTAATTTTATTTCTTGTTCATATTGTAAATATTTAGATTAATTAAAGTGATGCGTTAATTTGTTCTTGGAGTTTATAAATGTCTCAATAAAATGACATCTGAGTTATGTAAGTATG